TGGTCTCTAACATTTCTATAGCCTAAAGGACTCTCAGAAACAACTGGAAGGATTGATGGTACTTGAACTCCTGGCCACTTGGCTCTAGGTACATTCACCTAATTTGAATGCGTTTGAGAAGGAGAGAGGATCTCATTTAGCTTCTTTATCTAAGCATTCTACTTTTAAAGAAGTGCAGAGACATGATGGACGTGTTAGAAATTTATATTTCAAAATTATTCTTGTTGTCAGATTTTGCAGTTGCCTGTTAACATCAAACTTTCCTGTTTCCAGTGCTTGAAATATCACCATATTTGTTGCTTAGTCTCTTCCAGATTGCCCAAAGCACTGTTACTTCATAAACAAAGACTCAGAAAAATCAGATTTAGCAGGAGCCTTGGTCAGTAGAATCCCATTTAGCCATCCAAAGTGTGTGCCTGGTGTAATAGAGATTCTTCGACATCAAGTGGCATTTAACACTCTTATTAGCAGCTGTGTCTCTGACAAGCATATAAATGAAGGTAAATTGTGTGGTTGGAAGTGATGGCAGAGAATTAGAGAGAAACTATCCTCTAAGCTGGGTGTTAACAGATTTTACTGCTCCCTTGCCAAAACTGTCATTACTTGTGAAGTGTGGTAAATGATAAAAAAATTCTCAACACTGTATTGAGTTATTTTTTTTTACTATCTCCTAGGCCCGACACTTCTAGAAGCATAAACTAACTTGTCAAAGTAATGAATAATTAGATTCTACTGCATCAGTATTTTTTAAATTCTGACGTATGTTTCAGCCAAAAAGAGTCCAGATTCAACAGGTGGATATCACTAAACAGTAATTTTATTTCTAGATGATTCAGAACTGCTTTACTTTGAAGTGGTACCACACAGGAACACCAGCTTTTGTGTCTTTTTCCCTCATCCCGTGGAAGAGAATTTAGCCTGTGGTACGTGTGGAATAATTGATACTGTCCTCTTTACTTAGCTGGCAAGGGTCTTGGTTCTATGTAGGCTCTTGCATTATGCTTCTCAGTAACAAATAAATTCTAAGGGCCCCTCTCAGTGGTGTGCAGGCAATGAAAAACACAAAGTATCACCTGTGTGTCAACTGCTTACAGGTATTCTGTACTCAGAATAAAACAGAAAGTAGATGAAAATCCTGTTTTGTCTTGATCTGCATTTAATGAATAAATGGTAACTTCTATTTGTGATTTAAGTGTATTAAGAAAAAGCAAGGCACGCAGATGCACTGCTGCAAACCCCGGCCCACTGACTTCAGTCTTACATCTCCTCAAGCGTCAAAATGAAAGGATGATTTTCAATGTTTGTAAGTATTTCAAAACAAGCCTTTTTTGTTCTGTTCCTTCTTAGTGATAATTGATGTTATAACCTCCAGAGAAGTCCACTGTCACCTTCAGTTAAATCCTCAAGATCCAGCTCTAAATTGCAGTGATGATTTCATAGCAAGAGCTGTGAAGCGGTAAGTAGTTTTATTTTATTCCGTAACAGTTGGAATGAACATCAGCTGTCCATTTAATGGAAATATCACGTGTGTTCATAATGCCATAAACTCAGCAACTGGAAAACTTCACTCTAGGAAGAAGCTGTAATACAGCAGTGGGAATAAGTTATTTCAGTGTCTTAAGTATCTCTTTCAAAATTTTTAAACGTTAATAGTGATCAAGTGTTTCTGGTAGAAAGCACATGGGGGCAGGGAAAGACTTTTGAATGAAGAGCTTTATCATTTACGCTTTTCTCTTTTGTAAATATGCTCTTCTGAAGACATGAGCTGGTGACAGTCTCATGACTAGTATAACTCAGAACAGCATGGAAAGGTCTTTTTACACATCTACCTAACAGCAGTCAGTGCTTCTTTTCAGAACAAAGTGCCGTAAGTACGCACACTACTGTTATCTGTTTGAAAACAAGATGATCAGTGTAGGCTGGATTTTGAACCCAACTTTAAACTGGGTAGTATTTAACTGGAACCACGTTAAGAGTGGGGAAAAAACCTCCTTCAGTGTAGACAGTGTTTTAGAAAAGATATGCCCTCTGTCTTACAGAAAACATGAAAGTTACAAAGCTCAGCAACAATGAATATATCTCAACATTATTAGTTTAGGTTTTCATCAGAAGCACCCTTATGACTTTTTTTCTGACCAAACCCTCCCCTCTGTCAAAACTTCTTTGCACCACTAAGTTCAAAGATTAAGCACTGTGTTTGTGGTGCAGCACGCCTAGTTTATATTGTGGTTACAACATAACACCCGGTTTTATGAGGCAAAAAGATGCAAAGAGGTAGAGCTGGTTTTTATTCTGGTGTCAGCCACAGTTTAAAAAACAGAAGTATTTTAATGAATGGATGCAGTCTGTAGTAGTGACTAATGTGTCATTTCCTCCTTCAGCTGCATGTCAGTCCCAGTTGTCATGAGAGCTATTTTCAGGAATGCTGCCAAGGTGAAAGCCGATAGTGAAACACAAGACATGGATGTAGACACAAAACAACCACATGAACCTGAGCAAATTACAGATTCTAATAGTCTCAAAGAAAGCCCTTCCGTGGCTGGTCAGCACGATTTGGTAGTGACAGATAAGCCAAGTATTACAGACAGCACAGAAGAAAATCTCTCCACAGCCAAACTGGAAACTCTGGATGATAGCACGGAAAAAAGTAACCTCTCACCAAGAACAGAAGCTCTGTGCAGAGCAGAGGAAAATTAATTCCGTAGCTAGCGTAGAAGCTGTTATGACAGACAAATAAAATCTATTGTTTGATAAGCAAAAAGAAAGTCTACTTAGTAATTTGTGAAAGGTGTTTTCTCTTTGCACAATATGAAATACGTAGAAGTAACACCCTTGAATTTGCATTTTTAAACATTCAAATTTGGAAAGTCTAACACTCCTCTAGTAACCTTTATTCCACCACAGTATGGAAGAAATCTGTTTATTATACATAGAATCATAGAATCATAGAATGATACAGTCTATAACACACACATGCACTTGTAGAAAAGTAATGTTTATCCACATCAACATTACGCTGAATAAATTGAGAAAAAGGTACTTGAATAATTTTGTACAGGCACAATTAATGCAGACAGCCCTATTTGTCCACTATTTTAGAAACAGGTCCAGTAAGACTCTTAACTGCAGTTTTCTTTACCCCTACAGTAAAAGAGGTACTGAATGGCAACCAGACTTACACTCTACCACCTCTGTGACAGGATAACTGTATCTTTAGCAAGAAAACTGTAAACTCAGGTTCTGAAAATCAAGTAATTTTTGCCTTAGTTTTTTCTCTGGCCTCAAAGTATGAAAGTGTTTTGGGGGGGTTTTTTTGGATTTTTTTTTTCAAGTATAGTCAAGTTGACTGTTCCAAATTTTAGTTTGTCTCTGTCTAGACCTGCTTTGTCTCAGATATGAAGGAGGGTTAAAAGCAACTTAAAACAACCAAACTCTTAACTTACTATAAAACAGTTTAATTAGTGTAAAATGGAGGCATTCACCAAGAAAAAACCTCCTGAACTGAGCAATTTACAAGTACAGTTAAGGCAAGCAACATGAAAATGAATCAAATACAGAATGCTGGCACAGTGGGGGTTTGCCAGGAGCCAAAAGCATAGTAAAGATTTACAATAATTACTTGCACTGGAAAGTATCGAGATCAGATCTTCCTAAAGCAAAGTGATGCATCAGCCTGTACATGGTCCACAAAGTGAGAATCAAAACCAGTTGAGATAATTTTAAGTACCGTGAGACAGAAAAACTAACGTTCCAGTTGCTGGACATGATGGAGTATATCCAAGGGTAAGTCCAGTTGCTCTAGAAGCCAAAGAGTCTGCTTTTTAACCCAAGCAAGCGTTGACCTTTCAGGATCTGTGCAGAGGTTTGCCTTGCTGCACTCAGACTGCAAGGAACCAGCCTCACCGTTATTTCTACAAATGTTTTCACCAGAGCAGCCACCGTCCTCCTGTCTTCCATCTGTAACTTCCTTGTGCTCTGTCCCAGCTGAAGCTGTGTGATTAAGGTCCATGTCCTCAACAGAGTCTAAAACATGTCTAAGATGTAGCTGTTCTTCAGCAGAATTCAGATACTTGAGCACATCTTCTTCATGCTTCCCAACCACATCAAGAAGATTATTTATCTTATTTAAAGCAGAATCATGTCCATTAAAATGACACCAGGATAAGAGAGCACTGAAAAGTGAACAAAACCAAAAGTGATTATATGTATCTACACAGACCTCCAGTTGGCGAAGACAGATAACAATGTGCCAAGGTATCAATGCTGTGATATCAATGCTATGTAAGTGTATGTTTCATTCACATTTTATGGATAATTCAAGCAACAGAACTAAATATTAAGCTTTAAAGATGTAGATTCAGTTAATTCTGGAAGAGCGACTGAAGGAGGTTTTTCAGTAATGGTCACTCTACACCCAGGTAGGCAGTTTTACAATGCACTTTTTTTTTTTTTTTAAATTAAAACAAACAAAAAGCTGCATGCATATTCCCTTCATACACACACACACACACACACACTTGACCTTAAGGAGTTTGTGACCTACTTCAGGGTTCCTTTGAACTGGCCACATGTAATCATCAGCTCGGCACCGTGTCTGTAACCTTGATTAAAGCCTTTCTGGAGTGCAAGTTCTTTCCCAGCCTCAACTCCATCCCTGTAGCCTTCCTATAATAAGAGCAGTGAAACAGGTTGTTCACAAGATGGCAAATTGTACCTATGACAAATGCATAACAATAAAAAAAGTTTTAACAAGTATTCAGTCCCTTAAATTACAGCTTCTAGATTTGAACATCCCTCAGAGCTGCACGCCCATTGCCAAATCAAAACATGCTTTTTGCAGTGCCTTGTGATTTACTGACCTGTAAGGTCCAGCTCTTTTCCAAAAGGAGCCCCAGAAGAAGTGTCTTCTGGTAAAAGAGTACTTTGCTGTGATGACTACTAAGAAGAGTTTCTGTAAATTCCTGCTACATTTTCCTGATATTTAGAAGAAACTAAGCCACAATAACTTTTGAGCGGCCACTCTTACTTTTCCCTTTGGGTCATCCATATGTATATCGAGGTACGTACCAGTAAATCTAAAATTAGGCTAAAAAGACCATTAAATCATTTTTATAGAAATACCTTCAATCTTTTTTTCATGGTGCTGTTCCATTCCTTCTGTAGTAGATACATCTCATCTGCATCTTCATCAAATATATCCTCATTGGATCGGCTGACTGCAGCTTGCACCCAGGACATGACAGCAGTGTCCTCTGTTTATCTGGTAAAAAAAAAAACACTGGAAAACTCCCAGAAGTCCCTCTGGTGAAGTGTCAGATTAGAAGTACGGGCAAAAAATGTGAGTTCTGACGAGAAGCCAGGTATGGAGCTGATCGTTCAACCTGTACGTGGAAGCTTGGTGCTGTTTGCCACTGCGGTGCACCTGTCAAGAAAAGACGGATCATCACTCATGAAGCAACTTCTGAGATTTATGAGAGCAACTTAAAGAGAGTTTCTTCCCATCTTAGGGAAGTGACACACATATGCACTTAGGGCATATAGATATATATATATGCCGAGTTAACGTTCCTAAATGCTGCTGGCTCTCGGACAGCTGGATGCCAACAGCAGCTGATGAACACCCCCTTCAGCTTCCCTGTGGTGCCCTAAGTTGCACAGACAGGTTATATGTATATACACATTTCTCTCTGTTTGTGTAGTGTACCTACACTATGACCTACGCGCAGGTAATCACCTACAGACTCAGTAACTGGAAAGGACTCTCACCTTTGATTTTCAGTTTTCTGGGTACGCCAAATACTTAACAATCTTACAAATCTTGAAGAGTCCTTTATATTTTTAATAAAAAACTAGCAAGTTCTACTGCAGGGGAAAGGAGAAGCTTTCGGATTATTTCGGCTTTTCCAATGTAGAAAACCTTGAGAAGCCTCTCACAACTAATTCATTTATGCCGCTGGAAATGTTTACAATCCACAGACGCTGCTCCTTGCAGAGAAGGGAACCGAGGGCCCGGGGACAGCACGGGCTGGAGTCCCGCAGCCGCACCCTGCCGTCCCCAGCTGCCCAGAAGCGGCCGCGCTGCGAGGAGCCTTCCTTCTCCCCCTCCCGGCGGCAGATGCTGCCCTCCCTTCGCCTCGCCTCTCCGCGGAGCCCACGCAGCCCCCGTCGGCCGCCCGGCCCCTCACCCCGGCCATCACCCCGGCCCTCAGCGCGGCCGCCCGGACAGCCCGCCGCGCCGCTCCTCGCCTGCCGCCATCTTGGCTGAGGGCTGACGAGCGCCGCTGCCGCCGGAAGCAGCGGGGCGGCGGCGGCCATGTTGGACAAGGGCAAGCTCCGCGGAGCCCCCGGGGAACGGCCGTCATCTCGGCCGGCAGCGCTCTGACGTCAGAGCCCGGGAGACGCTGGCGGCGCCATGCTGAGTGAGGGCGCAGCCCGCCCTCGGGGCGCGGCGGGGTCCGGCTGTGGGAGGGGATGGAGAGGCTGCGGCGGCTGCGGGCATCTCCCCTCCCGCCCTCAGGGGACAGCCGAGTGTGGCTGGCCCCGGCCTCCCACAGCGCCCTGAGGACAGCCCCGGAGGGAACGCCTTCCCCGGGGCACGGAGGTTTCGTCCTCTTCAAACGGTGGAATTTTTTTAAAAAAATCTGCCTTGGCTTCAGAATTCTCAAAGACTTTATGTTAAGCTGTCTTCTACAAGATCTAGGTATTATAGTGATGAATCCATTTTATAATGAAAGACCCCAGCACGAGTGAAGTCTTGCGATGTTCACTCGGACTAGAGGAAACAGCGACGTCCCGTTGATGCAAATACAACAGAATAAATAAACAAACACAGCATAAACAACGGCGTTTCCGCACGCTGCACTTGGCTCATGAACATAAGTTTAAAGTCAGTTAATCTTCATAAACAGGCAATACACGAAGCTGGAATCCCAAGTGACACGTTTCTCCTCAAGTGCCAGAGCCTGTGGTCCTTCTCGGATGCTCGCTGATGGTTTCGTGCTGAGGTATGAGCGGCAAAGTAACCCTAGAATCTGTCTAGAGATGCATATGTCAGGGGACAAAGTGGCACTGGTGCCTCTGGATAGCCAAAAATGCGTATATGTTCCTCAGCAGTTACCACATGTGTCCATGAGTACTGATTTCCTAGCCCAGTTCTATCACTTCCACCTCCTGCTCAGCAGAAGCTAGCTCTGCCATTTTTTAGAACTGGTAACAATACCGACAATATGTGCAATTCACAGTCACCAAAAACAGTTCTGGCAGCAGAAACTCCTGAGCCCTCATGACTGGTCACAATGACGCTGCTAAAATTGGGTTAATCCTTTGCTTGTCATCTTGCACTCTGTCTCCTCAGCCTCCTGGAAAACACGCAGAGGTCATGGCTCAGGGAAGGTGTGAGTTTCCCAGACTGACACTATCTCACTTTAAAGGTTTTGCATTTAGCGAAGTGGATAATTCCACGCAGATGTTCAAGACAAGTCTTTATAATCGTGAGAAACAACGAAGAAAGCTTTCTCTTATTAGTTGTGTGTGAATAATTGGGTGAATCATACTGTATTCATAGAGCAACATTGTTGGGACAGACTTGAAGACAAGTTGATTGTGTGCTGATGGCCTTGACAGGACTGCTGGCAGGGCTTGAGGCTGAGGTGTGGTTCCTCAGAGTGCAGTTGCTTTCCGCACCTGCGTGTATTATGGTGACGCTTTGTAGAGACACACGCTTAAAATATCAAAACAGGAGAGCAATATTTCACAGGCTAAACCCCAACATTTTGGCACAACGAAAAAAGTTACCTGACATGGTGAGAAACCATGAAGAAGTAGTTGACTTGTGTGACCTGTTGCAAAGTTTGTCGCTACCATATCTAAGATTAAAGACTGTCTAATTTTAGGCTTATGGTACCTATTATACCAGAGGTACTTCGGGGACACAAACGTGCCTGGCTCAGCAGTTACTCCCTGCATACCTGATGTACTGGGGAGAGGTTCCAGAGGGCCCAGTACACGGTCATAGCTTAGTCATAGATGGGTTGCTGGAGATCATTACAAAGGAATTCTGTCAGCTTTCCTGTAGCAGTGAGGTTTGCCGTTAAGCAATCAGCCACAAGGGATCTCCGTAAGTGAAATGTACGAGCATAGGGTCATAGGCTGCTCCTTTACACCTTTTTTGCTGCACCTGATGGCTCAGGTAAGGTGTTGCTCCCATTCAGATGATTATTATACAGCCTCGTCTCTCAAACACAAATGGATGGCAGCAGCCAATGGATTTTGTCGTAATGCACAAAGACACCTCGTTGTCTCTAATTTTGGAAGTAATATAATCCCTTTAAGAAATCAGGGCTCTTACATGGTATTTGGATAAATTTCAAGGACACTTAAATCACTGTTTATTTGTTGTTTTATATAGTAAACAAGATAAAAACATAACGAGAGTAATCATTTGAAACGTGAGGAGAGTGGAAAGCCTCAATATTTAATAAAGGTGGTATATGCATTGCCACCAAACATTGCACAATGTTTCCAAAAAGCCTTAAAAATGCATATTCTGCCTATAGTCAGGTCTTCTAGCAGGTATGTGGTTCTACTGCCTTGTCAGATTCTGGGCTGTTTTCCTTGAATGTCGTGAATAACAGGACATTGGTGGGACTGCCCACAGCAGCATCATGCTCACATGCAGTCAATGTCTCTGTCCTGATCTTGGCTCTCTGCATTTTTGTCTTCATGCAAGGGATGGTGGGGTTGTGTGCTGCTGGCTGAATGTTGCAGTAATAATGCAGTGACCTGCAGTGTGTAAATTCCTTTGCTTCCAGGCCTACCACAGAGAAGGAGACAGCGAGCTAACACGTTAGGTGAAAGGTCATAGGCTTAATGAGGTTTTAAATATTGCAGTTCAAGGCACAGGAGACTATAATGACCCTAAATTAAACAAGAAGGTTAAAATAAACTTCTGGGATCAATGATTTTTACCAGGGCATGGTAACAAACGTTCAATTCAGTGTTTTTCTGTAATATCTCTCATTCAGGATATTAAGACAATTTACTAGTATAGCTTTGTCACCCTCTTCTGATTAAGGTAAGTAATACATAAGAATTATTTGCCTGCTTTTGTGAAATCCCTTCTCTCTTCTTTAATAACATACAGTAATATTACACAACACTTTGGATCAAAATGTCTCATTTAATATGAGAAGAAAATGGAAGAATATGGAAAAGAGCTAGAAATTTATGAATATATCAAGGGTAAATGTCTAACATTCACTTCAAAGCACCACAGGAATCTTAATAAGCCTTTTGCCATTACTTCTTACACAAGGTTTTTCACGGGAGATGATAGTTTTCTGCCTCCTCCTTCACCTGTATTACCAGAGCCCAGAACGTTGATAGTTAAGTATTAAAACATAGCAGTTTTCTTACTTGCAGAGTCATTACCATTTCAGATCCTGGGGAAGAAAAGAACCTTTCCTGTCTATTCCATGAACTGCCAGCAATTGGACTTAGATTGGATTGTAAGTGGAAGTGGTTAAGAAAAGGAATATTTTTTTTTTTTCCTCTCTGCTTTCTCCAGGCTTTCTTTGAATGTTCTTAGGGCTTGCAGGCTGAAAAAACTGTACGCTGCACTGTTGCATACTAAACAGAGCAACAAGTACAGTTTATTAACACCGAAACAGTTCTCCTCTGTCATTTGCCCTGTTTTGGGTCTCAAATGACTGAAATTTGTTGTGCCCGGAGGTAATCCACATTTTCATCCTGGAACTTTGATAACAGCTCCACCATTGCAGAAAGGATGGTATGGCTGAGATCAAAATGAGCTATATACACATCTCAGCTCAAGATTAATGTCGACAGAGTGTAGTGTAGTATGGGACTACACTATTATTTTAATAATATACAGCAGAGAAGTAAGGAGGGAATACTCCTAATTGTCTTCAATCTGTCGACATTGAGCTTTTCACAGTGTGAAATGCAACATGAACCAAAAGAGGTTATGTCAATAAGAACAAGCAAATGTAATAAGTTCTGCATTTTAGTTGTGTCATTGAATCAGGTGCCTGCTGAAATTGCAATATTAGAGATGGGTCTGACTGGTTTTGTATCATCAATAAATCAGGATTCCATAGCTTTCTGACTCAGATATCCTTAAATAGTATTTTTCTACCTTATTGCTTACATTTTATGATACAGAGCTGCCTTTTTTGTTTGGATAATAATGGATCATAGTATAGGCAAATGTTTACAGTAAATGTAATTTGCTCCAAGGAAGATGCTGTATTCCACCTATGGATTTCTGCAGTGAATTGCATCTCTTATTCAGTGTCACACAGAGTTTTTGTCACAGTTGCGTTTCTTCAAAAGGAGAGAAATGCCAGCTTTTTTCTTTTGGATAAGAGATGAATTGCCCTCTCTGTTTTATCCCTTGTATAAACTCAGGCAAATGATGAAAAACTGCCGGAATAGCAGCTGTGCAATGCTGATCCAACTGTCTGAAGTGAAATAGAACTGCTAGAAGGCATAAAACTTGTGGAGTGCACTGATTTCCTTGGCACCTGAAACCACGAGAAAACAGCTGTTTCAGTGGCAACGCGCAGTTTCTGAAAGGTTGAGGTTGTGACAAGAGTAGTTAAATGGTGGCTTTGAG